CCTGGCAGCACCTGCTGAGTCGGAGCGTTATTTTAACAAGTGCTGGGAGCTGGGGTGGGTGGGGCAGCCATTGCCGGGCTGGGAGAGCAGGCAGGGGAGGGGCCTGGCCTGGCTGATTTGAATTGCCAAATTGAATTGGGACAGTGATTCGAATTGGCCGAATCTGAATCCGAAGCGAATGCTAGCCGCTTCACTCAGGCCTACTGCGTATGCCACAGGTTGCCCACACCCAATCCTCTACTTGAGTCAGGATTGTCCCTATCCACATCATCCCACCAAGTCCCCATCTGACCGATTTCTAGGACTACACAATCAAACCTGCTGCTGCACAACTACCAGCACCAAAAGGACCCTAACCTGCCACAAGTAAAACAGCAGGGTGATATTGTCAGTGTCCCACCACTGCAAGAATTGTTCAAATGCATTCAAGACATTTGAGTAAAGTACATTAGGTAGATATTAATATTTCCATTTTACATATGGAGAAAATTGAGACAATCTCTGCCCTATTCAGTCTTCTCTATTTCCTTCTTTTTTTAGTTTAGTTGGTGATTTCCTAATAACTCCTTCCCCCAGCCCCCCTCCCCCCCCATAAATTAACATGATAGGAACAAGAGATATACCATTATTGATTAGACAACGGGTCCACCTAGGCACAGTATCCTGTCTTGCAGAGAGCAGATATTAAGGGAGAATGTAGTGCCTGATCTATCGCATTGATCGCTCTACTTATGTAGTGCCGTAGAACCTGGGTGCTTCATAGGGTTTGATTCCTAACTCCAGGCAAATATAAAGAAGTTTGAATTATGCAGGGGGATTCAAAGCCACAGCAAAGAGCTGTGTGGGACTGCTGATATACTCCAGTTATTTGCTGTGGTTTTAAATCAGAAGGTGCCCTTTGACTGAACAGGACCCGGGCTGTGTTCTAGCTGAGTGGAGAAAGGGTGTCTTTTTTAAATGAAAGCTTCACAAACAGTTTTAATTTGGCAACCTGCTCTGCATTAGATACATTGTAAACTAGCTAGATCTGAACGATCCAAAATCTGTTGCATACCTTATTCCTCCAACTTCTCTCTTATCTGTTGGCTTGGTAATTATTTTGAGCAGGGACTGTCTTTCTTCTATAGTTATCTCTGATCTTGGTTGGGGCCTTAGCACCACCTGTTATAAATATGAGGTGGGAAGGATAGTCCACTGGCTACCATTACAAAGCCTGCATTGAACCTGTCATGTGTCTGCTCCAGATCAGGGTTTGGCGGGGAAGAGTGGAATCTGATGCTGGGGGATGGTCATAATCCAATATATTGTTCAATTGCTAAAGATGGTACAGTTAGTGTAGTAAGCTACAGACAATCATTAGATGGCTGGCACTAATTTTTCCTCATCCCCACCTTTCTCTCTTTATCAGAGAAAATGCCATCTGTACAAGATCTCTCTACTGAGATGAATGTGACTGCAACATTTTGCTTGTGCACACCATTCTGTCAGGTGCTTTATATATTAAAAGCATAATCATAACTTTGGGTTTTTATTTTTATTTTCCTAGAAATTTGACAGGCAGATCCTCTAGCAGCTGCTGGAATTGCAGATTATGGAGCTTTCTGCACTTAGAGCGGAAAGCAGCTCTTCTGTTCCTGGGCTTGACAGTACTTCAGAGGAAAAGGGATTCCCCAGCACTGTTCCGTGTTTGGAGCAGAAACAAAAAAGCCATGGAGAAGAAAATAAGCAGCTGTTGGAAAGGAGTACATCTGATTGTGCATGTTTGGTAACCAATGCTTTCATGCCCACAGCAGTTAGCACAGAAAAGGAGGTGTGTTTGCAAGGGCAAAATGGTAAGACCTCTATAGCTTCTGTTTTTTTGCTTTGGCTACTTCATTTTGTTTGTTTCATTTTTTGTTCTGCCCAAAAAAGCTTTTGTATTTTTTCAGTCATTTACATTTTCCTACAATGTTTTTATAGTTGTTTAACTGAACAATACAAGTATATTTCCTTTGAAGAGCTGTATGTACTCTTATAATAAAAAAAACCTAGACAAATAGCTCATTTTGGTTACATTTCTTTAAAAAAAAAAAATGGATACCTTAACCCAGAGGTAAACTAAGATTAGAATAACAATTTGATTGATAATGACCAGCCTGGGTAGTAAGATCTGAAGGCCCCAAGTAGGGGTGAGCAAAATGTGGCCTGGGGGCCGGATGTGGCCCACCAGGCCATTCTACCTGGCCCGTAGGGTCCCTAAAAATTTTAGAAAATTTAATATTTATCTGCTCTGGGCTGCCTGTCATGAAGCCATCGATGTCTTACCAAAACTCAGTAAGCAACCCTCTGCCCAAAATAATTGCCCACACCTGCTTCAGGGCTAGGGACAAGCATTTAATAAGCCTAGGCCTGAATTGATTCAATCTTTGCAGGTTAGTCTAACCTGGCTAGGTTAAATCACTTTGTAACTGTACAGGCATCCCAGACATGCAGGCACATGCCTGCAGTGTCTCAGGCAAAAAGCTGGGGGTGCTAGAGCCTTCCCTTCCACAGAACTGAGCTGAAGCAGGGGGTGTGTCCAGGCCTGGCAAGATGCTCTCGTTAGTCCAGCAGGGAATTTGATTTGTTTATCACCCCCATTAAGAAAACACAGGGACATTACCAGCTACCTGTTGAGTCTGTCTTTATTCTGTCTGCCATAGCAGGGACTGTAGCCAGCATGTGGTCTGCTAGCTAATACACAGACACCTCTCCACAAGGCTTAGCAGGGAGTGGTAAGGGGGAGGGCAGGAGCAAACGGCTCTTTTTAAACAGCTTTTCCAAAGAAGGACATTAAGCTACCTGTTGATTAGCTCCAAAAAGCCCGTTGGCCTTGGTCGTCTCCTACAGCATAGACTGTAGCCAGCATGTGGTCTGCTAGCTAATGCTGAAGTGTCTGCGTAAGGCAGAGGGGAGGGAAGAATAATCTCTGCTTACCAGGGAGAAGCCAGGCAAAAGCTGCTGTGCAAGTCTCTGCCGAGCTGCAGCCAGGGAGCAGTGGGGAGGGGCCAGCCCTGCTGTGGAACAGAGAGCATGCTGAGGGTTTCTGGTTAATCTTAAACCAGCAAGGGGTCTGGGACAGACGCTGTATAAACTGGTTTGACACAAATCAGTTAAGTCTGATACTACATTCAACCTGGTTTATCTCAAATTGGTTTCAGCCATTTTCAAACCAGTTTATATGCACTGAACATCTGTTCTGTTACAGGTTAAATGATCAGAAACTGGCTTAAAACTGGTTTATGTGTAATGTCTGTCCCTAGCCTGTATGACCCACTAAATCTGGTGTTCTTTCTCAAAAGGACTTTCTCAAAAGGTTATGTGAACTTATTTCTCTAGCATCTCCTTTCTAGTTAAGCAGCCCTCTCAACTTTTCTTGAAGTTGAAAATGATAACATGTTGTCATAATCCCAAGAATGGCTCGTTTCATGCCTGTGACTAACCACAGTAAAAGCAGAACTAGAGCTGGACAGGAATCACAGCTGGGACAGGAAGTGTTTATATTTAGGATAATAATAGTCATGAAATCTGGTCAGGCCAGCATTGCAGTTGCAGTGCAGCTAGACTTAATTTGAACTGGAAGGTATATTCAGTGTTGTTTAGTAAACTTTCCTGTTCTCTACCCTCCTTCTCAGCATGATGGAAAAAGGAGGATGAAGCTTTGCAATTCCTTTAGGTAGAGTGTCTCTGATATTAAAAGTGACTGATTAATGGACTAATTTGGAGAGGGGTTTTAAATGGTAGATTTTAGTTAGTTGAAGGGATGCATAAATGCTAGTGATCAGACAAACCTATTTGAAAATGCATTAACTGTGTAACACAGTTTAAATTCTACACTGCTTGCTTAGTGTCAAGCTGTGTCATCAGGATGAAGACACAAAGTGAAGGACCCCCGCAAGCCAGCACTGGCTGGTATGTCTGGAAGAAGGGAAATGAATACATTCCATCTCTGAAAATTTGGGGAAATCAACCTCTGAAGAAGATGATTCTGTGATATCCAGAAGAGACATACATAGGCATCGTCTGTCTAATTTGTAGTTATAACACCTGCTCCCACTGTATTATCTTTTGATCTTAATGGATTGTTTTTTGCAAGATAACTCATGTAGTCAACACCACATTGTGGAGAGACACCATCCATAATGTGTATCCACCTAAGGTGTGGCAGACTGGTGCATGGGGGTTCCACAACTACATAGGGCCTGAGGAAACCCGGCTGCTGCAAGTACTGGGAAAGCTTGTGAGATAACTGTCCTCTAATTCCTACTTCCACTTAACCTGTCAGTTATGGAGACTTAAATACTCACAAAGCTTGAGTTCAATCAGGTCTAGTTGGTATTAAGCAAGTATTGTATTCCTGTTCCCGCTGCAGTGGGAGCCCCTTGGCATCACACTTCTTTCCATGCCATTGTATTCAGGTTGATTTGAAAAGGTTAGAATGAAAGAAATGCATCTGTTCATTTGCTGTTAACATTTCCACAGATATTTTATTCTAGTTGAGTTTCCCTTTAAAATGCTGGTTGAATCTGGCTTTCTTCTGTTCTTCATGTTTACATAACTAATAAGTAGGGAAATCCCCTACTTGTATTGTATGCTTATTTAGTTGCTTGCCTTCATGTAACACGAACAGATGCTCTATAGAGAAATTGCTGAATAATAATTTTTTTGCCATGTGCTACTGCATATTGCAGCTGCATACATTTTCTTAAGGGGGAGAAATGTTTTCCCTGTACAAGTGTTTCAGTGTAGCTTAAAATGGCTTCAGAAGGATTATTTTTTAAGAGTTATTTCCCCTTTCCCTTCCTCCCTGTTTCTCCTTATTTGGGTGGAAAACCCTATGAAAAAAATGAAAATTGGCTTGAGAACTTTCTCAGATTCCACATGGGCAGGAGTTTTGAATCCCTCAAGAGAGAAATCTCCTTTTCTGTTTGTGAGTAGAGTGGGTTAGAAAGGATTATGCTATCAGAAAAAATATTTTTTCAAATTTTAATAAAAAAGGGGAATCTTTAACTAAATTTTCCACTTGCTTTACTCATCAACATTTTGAATTATTCAGTTTGTAACAAAATCATATAGAAGGAAACAGTTCAGAATTGCATCTGGGATAACTCCAGTTAGGCATATTGACTTGGTAATTCAAGATCCTTTGTCAATTTACCCTGGCTGAGGATACGAGCTATGTTGGCATGTAGCATTTTGGCTCAAAGAATTAAAATCTGAATACAAATCTTAAAGCTGGGAAAGCTTCAGTTACCTGAGATATCATAAACCTCCTGAGGTTCTTTTACTGAAAAGAGTGAAATGGAGACTATTGAAAGTTGGGTACAAATACTCCCCCTAACAATTGAAGTACAGCTTGTTCATCACAAGGAAACAAAAATGGACATGCACATAGAGTACTCTATAATTCACGGCAAAAGATTTAAAGCTTTCTGTTTTGTGAATTTGGGCTGATTATGAAAATGCCTCTTACCAGCCATTCTGTTTGTTACAGACTTTTCTAAGAATGATAAACATTCAAATATCAGTTCAAGAATAATGTCAAGTCCAGCTGAGAGTATTCCAACAGGTAGGCCTATTTCTTTTGTTACAGTTATCCAGATATACATTTTTACCATTTACAATTGCTCTTCAACTGAACTGTGAGATGATTGTAAATGTTTGCACACCTTCAGATATCAATTTTATCACAAGTCTCATCTCATTTCTTTTTCTGGTTTATTTTTTTTTTCATGGAACATCTAGTGGCACAGGACTTGTTGAGAACTCCAACTTTCATTAAATAAGAAAAATAAATCACTAACCCTTATAAAGAAAGCTTAAGCTTCACCATAAGGTTTCAGAAAGCAGGAGCTGAATAAAGGAACCTAACATTGCTTTGAAAATCATATGACACTAACCATGAGATTTATTTTTATATGGTGTGTGCATATAATGATTTGTTTTAACCCTTGGGGTAGTAACAGTGAATCCATTAGTAGGCAATTAGGAATATTTCTTGGGCAGGTAAGCATACAGTCTTAAAATTTAGGTGAATTGAGCAGAATGCTGTGTATTGGGTTCAATGAATTGAAAATATTGTGTTTCTCTTTCTTTTTTTGCTTGTTTAAATTTTTTCCCCTTACATGTGAGACAAAATATATAGTCTGTGATATGTTGTTAGAATAATTTGTATTAACCCTTTATGTTAAAGGGTTAATTTTTTGGAAGTTTAAATAGTAGTGTATGCTTGTTTACCCTATTTTCAAGCAATATAGGTACACGTTTTCAAATAATATAGGCACATAAATGAATAAATTGATTAGTTCTATGCTATTTCAAGCTATTCTGGGGTTTTGGAGGAAGTATTCTGCTGTGGGCTAGAAATCTGAGTTTGTGTTCTGGGCCAAATTTTGGCTCACTTTGAAGCTAGATCTAGTAAAACATTTCAAGTAGAGTTGCACCAACACATTGGTCCGATTTATCGGATCAGCACCAATATAAAGAAAATTGATTGCATGAGACATCAAGAGCCACCACCCTGCACCCCCATGGACGAGCCACGGCTCCGTTCCGTGCCCCGCCTCGGCTAGGTAGTGCCTGCTCTAGCCTTGCCCCCTTCCCTCTTCCCTCCCTGTCCACCAAAACAGACTGACCAGCTGCATGCAATTGGATTGGTATCAGCCGATATGCCTCCTTAAAAATTGGCTATCAGTATTGGTCCCCAAAATCTCTTTTGGTGCAGCCCTACATTCAAGTAATTAATTTCAAGCAGGTTAATAATCCCACTCCTTTCAGTGGGACTATTTAAATGCTTCATTTTTAATACTAGGCTAGTCTTTTACTAAGTGGACCAGAGTGCTCTGCACTTATGATGCAGAACACACAAATGCTTATAGAAATGTTCCTATTCATTTCAGTGGTTCAGATCAAGTAGGTCAAAGAAATAATATGCTCAGTGTTTGCAGGGAGAAGTGTGTTTTTTATCAGCTATTAACTCTCTAGTTTGTAACAGGAGCAATTTATCAGGAATATTGGTTAATTAAAAGACTAACCATAAACTCTAGAATTGACTATAGAAAGATTGTTCATATGTAATAGATGATAAAATTCATTATTAAAATTTACAATCTCTTAATTGCTTAAATCATTGGTCCTAGCTGCAAAGGAAATGAGTTGATCAAAAATGGTAAAAACAAATAGCTATCTACACATTTCTGGTCAAAGCATGTTCAGTTTGTTTTTTGGCTCTAACATTTATAATAAGGTTAATGATCGTCAGCTAATAAATGATTATTAATTACATTGTCCTGTTCTGAGGACTCCTTTGTCCTGACTTCAAAAGGATTACATTTAATTTTGAACCACAAATGCTCTGATACATTTAGGAAGCAGCTCACTTAGAACTCTTAAGAATCATAGAAGTTTAGAACTGAATGTAAAGATATGCATATTTTACCAGATTGAAACCACTGGATGAAATGTATGGAAGAGAGAATATTTGAGGTGTATATAAAGGAAAGGATAAGGAAAGGTTGGGGTATTTGCTGCAGTGCAACATGGTGCATTGCCCTAGCACCTTACAATGTGAATTCTTGACAGAAATAGTTTACTGTGGCTTTTCAGGAAGGTATTACAATCAGTTGCATCATATTAATCAGTTATATACTTTATTAGTCAGACGAGAATGTTCTTTTTCAATAAGTTGGCCTCTTCCCATGGAGTTAGGAATGAAAGAGTTTCTCAGCAAGCTGCTAGACAGGCTTTTATTGATTCTGTATGTCTAATGAGATACAAAACCATGGCCTTGGCCATATAGACTATTTAAGGTTCTGTTGTGACCACGGATACAAAGTAGGTAGCGCCAATCCACCTTTTTTCCAGCAGAATGTGTGGTTTCTGGCTAAACAGTAGGCCTGTGCGAAACGGCACCATTCCATTTCGACTTGTATTTCGACGGAACAGAGTTTTGTTTTGAATTTTGTTTCGATTCAAAACTGCTGTTTCGTTTCATTTTGTTGAAACAGTTTTGTTGTTTTGATGCTGTTTCAGCGTTTCACCCATAGGCTATAATGTGGAAGCTTGAAATGGCCTATAACTTTGTCATTTTTGGCTGATTTGGATGAACCGTGCAGAACTGGTAGCCCCTTCTGAGGGCATGAAGTCTGCCAAGTTTCAAGGAGGTAGGTGAAGGGGTTTGAGGGAAACTGCACCCCAAAGTCTTGAAAGCAAATATGATGTCACATGTATGTGTTAAGCCACAACAGGGTCAAACGTGCAGGCATGCTAGCCCCTGCTGAGGCTACAAAGCCTGTCAGCTGTCAAGGAGATAGGTATAGGGGGACTCTAGGTTCTGGGGCCCTGCACCTCTAGCTGCTGACAAACAAAACTCATGTCATGGGTGCTTGTGTGTGTGTGTGTGTGTGTGTGTGTGTGTGTGTGTGTGTGTGTGTGTGTTTAGGTGCACTTCACTGGCACTGGGGCCTCTACACAACATGGTAGTGTGTCCCAATAAGGGGTCCTCCTCCCCTACAGCCTTAGTCCGGTACACCACTGTAAAGAGCAGTAGGTAAAAATAACTTAGTGACTCAGCAGTCAGCACCAACAGCATCTCTGGTAGCCTAGCCACACTGTCAGAGCCTTTCTTTTTATAAGGGAAGTGAAAGCAAGAAGTAAAGATGCTGTGTTGGATATATGTTACTCATTGTGTGTGATCGCTTACCTTGTGTTTATATGTTTATTATGAAAAAAACTGGCATGGTTAGAGAAATATATCTTAGGAAACTTTTGGGTTGAAAAACACTGTCAGGCTGAGGAAACACCTGCAGTTGTTGTGCCTACTGGTCCTGGATGGATGGAATAGTAAAGAAGCCAGAGGCTGGCCTGGCATGCAATGCAGGCAAGAAAGCCAGTCAGTGAAAATGGAAAGGGGGGGGGGGGGGAGGGGAGGGGAGAAGAGTGATGTAGCAGTTCAGACGAGAGTGCAGAGGTACCTGGGGAGTCAGGTGTCCGGCAGGTCAGTGTGTCAGAATTCCACTGTCTAATGTATATTGAGTCCGTGAGTTGTGTACCTAGGAGGCTGAAGAAGTGCAGTTCATAGGCCTGGCTCTGAAAAGTGGTTTGTACATTCAAACAGACACCTAGCCTCATCACCAGAACTGAAGCCAACTTCCTACAGCTCAAAACACAAAACCTGCCAACTATCCCCAATACCCCACAAACTGTACACCAGAATCTATCAAAGACGACAAAACCCAACCACCTGTGGGGGCACATTCCTAACCAAAAAACACTCTGCCTCCAGTCTCTCAGGCCTGATCCTGAGAGGGAATAAATTACAAAACAATTTTCACAGCTGGGCCTATGAACTTCACTTCATCAGCCTCCTAGGTACAGAAACTCATGGACTCAATATAGACTGGAATTCTGACACTGCGACCTGCTGGACATCCGACTCCCCAGGTACCTCTGCACTTTTACCTGCATCATCACCCCACCCTCCCCTTCCCCCCCAGCCTGTCCCTCACCCCCGGATGCCTCCATTTCCATTTTTACTGACTGGCTTTCTTGCCTGCATTGCATGCCAGGCCAGCCTCTGGCTTCTTTACTATTCCTTCCATCCAGGATCAGCAGACATACCAACTGCAGATGCTTCCTCAGCCTGACAAAGGGTTTTTCAGTGCAAAAGCTGGCATCCCAGGCAGCTAAACTGAGCTTACCTGGAGCCTCACAACTGCACTGCAACCAGCAAGCCTCAGGCCTGTCAAAGATATGACAAGTCTGGGCTTTCTTCAACCAGGACAGTGTGTGTGCATGCATTAGCTGGAGGCTATAGTGCCTCCTACCCACCTTTCATGAGGGGATCATTGGTCCTGGCATTTACAGGGCTGTCGTGCCACCAGCAGTCCCACCAGGCCTCCCTACCCTGGCAGGGTGCAGTTTTAATGGTCATGCCCAGGACCTGGGGCCTCCTCCTTCCCAATACCCCAGCCAATACCTCCAAGTTTGTACTGGCATGGGAGTGAGCTCAGCAGGGACATGTTCTTGCCCTGCTGACTGGTGATGCAGTGTGTGCCCCCTCCACCTGAGAGCAGGCCAATAGCTGGTTTTTAAAAAAATGAAAAAAGGAAATGGGTGCGGACGGAGTGAGGAGGATGACATGCAGTCCATCTGCACCTGGAGCTTAGAGAACCCCAGCAGTGGGAGGTTCACCTTCAGGAACACCAGCTGCTCCACCAAACCAGGATCCAAGCAGGTACGGTGGGGTGTCACTACATCCACAGCAACGCTGAACACCCTCTTGCTTGGATCATTGGTCAGCGGACAGGATAGGTGCTCATGGGCAATTGTGGCCAGATCCAGCCACATCTGGTTGTGGCTTGCCTAGTAGGCCAAGGGGTTGCACAGCAGCAGCTCCACATCCTCAGCAAGATAGTGCTCACGCCTTGGTGGCTGCCTACCTGCCTGATGGTGGGGCCTGGTGGCTCTGGAGCCCACCATAGAAGCCATGCCCTTGGCCCACATTGGCAGTGACTATGGTGGAGGACAAGACTGGCTGGTGGAAGGCGTGCTCGCATGGGACAGTGGATC